CCCACCGCCAAGGTCCCTGGAGACCCTACCACCACCATCCTAACCGTTGCCGCCGCAGCCAGACTCGTCGCCGCCATATCCAATACCAAAACGACAAGCACCATCGATCTACTCATCCCACCACCACCATCCAATCACCTCCACTACCCGAGCGGGATAGTCACCATGACCGAAGCTAACACTACCAAGGCTGTGCCAGTTCCATTTCCGTCGCCCAACTCGACACCAAAATCATAAACATCACCTATCTACTCACCCCGCCACCACCACTTGTCCAATCACCTCCACCACCTAATCGGAGAAATTGTCTAAGAAGATCACGCGGGAGTAAGAATAGAGAGTGGGAGAGAGAGAAGTGATGGAGAAATAAATTAGGATTTGAGATTAAAATTAGGTTATTTTAATTATAACCTGACTTATGAAAAAATAAACTTAAAATCTGATTAATGAAATGTAAACTTTAAAAATATGGTTATGTGTAATTTCCTCATTGTTAAATTTGGCTGGCCAAAGGCCATTTCATCATTGCCTATTTTTGGACTGAATTTGGCATCGCAACCCAGTAGTATCGTTATCCAAGATGTTAATTATTAATGAATTATTCTAAAATAATTTAAAAGATTAGTAAAACATTTATTAGAATGAAATAAAGAATTTATAAAAATGAAATCAATCAATATAGCTTAAAAATTGCAAATTTAATTAGAATAATAATGGCGCAAGTACCTCTCTCTCTTTTGTCCTTCTGGCATGTCCCTCCCCTTCTTGCAGTGCCTGAACTACACACCCCTTGTTTTTCTCATATATCTTTTTCACCTTAGTGCTGATGGACTCAATCTGTTTCCCCAAACTTCGAAGCATGGGATGACTTCTTCTATTTAAAGCATTTTGTGACTCAAGCTTTTGAGCAGCAGACTCAGTAACATATTTGTCTACAATATCTTCTGCTTCATATAAAACGTCTCTGATTTGGTTTTGTTTTAGGACTCCATTCTTGTTCTGGATTTTTTCAGCTTTCGTGAATAGGGCTTTCAACAAATCAAGATTGTTGTACAGGGCCTTCACCTGTCCCTTCACGTCAAGAATCAGATGATCATTGTAAAAAACCAGGTTCTTCAGACTTTGTAGCAGATATTCCATAGAAGTTTCCTCCATATTGTTGTTTTTTTTGGTAAGGTGGAAAAGTTGAAAATCACGAATGCAGGCTCAGCTACACAAAATAGTGGTGTGAAGATGTGAACGTTCAATATATGGAATTACTTTGGGAAACCTGGCGGGGCTTTATATCCAGATGTACCCCCAGTAATTCAATAATACAAGGGACATACTACATGTACATAGAATTTGGTACATAAGGGTGTCCACACCCTCACATAGGGTGAGACCCACGGACATGCTACATGTACATAAAATCTGGTACATATGGTCGCCCTCACATGGCCCCAACAAGAATTATTCATGATATAATCCTTTAAATATAGCAAAAGGCAGCTAAGCATTGCAAAAGTTTAATGATATGTCTCATTTACTTATCAAATATTAAATAGGACAAAAAAAAAAAAAAACCGAATAACTCTAATACCGAATACCCCTGCATCCATACTCTTTCCCTCAAGAACTGTACGTACACAAGTTCTGTAGGAGTACTTTTATCTCTACATTACAGCCGAAGATTTGAAATTCTGTATCTTTTTTTATGTTAAGAGCTAGTCAAACATTTTATTCATTCATTTCTTAGGATTTAAATCATTTTACGAAGTAAAAACTGAATAACGAAACAAAGTATCTCATACAACTTCTTTAAAGGCTTGTCTGGAGGAAATTAAAAGCAGAATTCTGACCGTTAGTGGGTCCCATGGCTGCCTAAAATATGTGAAGGAAGTCAATAATGGAGGCTACTAATGGTCCACTAATTGCTTAAAATTTGGATTAAAATTGCCACCAGACTAATGCTAAATCTACTAATAAAGTAATTCATCAAAATAAAAACTCATTTAATAATATAAAAATTGTTTTCTCTTTCTCTTGTATGAATTACGCTCTTCTGATACTTCAAGGCGTAGTCACTCGGCACTCCTTCATGTAGGGCTAAGACAAGTTACATGATCCAGAGAACATGTTCTTAACTAATAGTTTGAATAGCTATAACAAGTGAACATATGATGTGAATAATCCATTTATTTAAAATAGTATAAAGTGCATTCAAGATCGAGATACCAGAAAATCAAGATTTTTCAATAGAAAGTGGAGATTACTTGAATTGATGATGTTTATGTTTACAATTTTAAGAAACTCCGCAAAGTGGGTGAAGTATTATTTAGCCGGTGTTTTACCCCATTTTTTAAAATTCAATTTTGTCCTAACTTATTTTCAATTACACTGGACATATCTTTATCAACTTTTTAACCATATATTTATTTTTTATAAAAATCTAATATACTTTTATTTTTTTAGCAAAACCAAACAATGGTTTAATTATAAATGGAGTTTTAAATTTTTTAATTTAAAAAGACTCAATAATGTCAATATTCTAAATTTTTATGATGTTATCTAAGCAAAAATATAATAATAATAATAATTAATGATTGTGTCTGTCAAATATACTCAATAAAAGATTTGATACCCTTTTACGTGAGAGGTTCTCTCATCATATAGAACCAAAATAACAACTAAATATGGAAGCAATCAATTGTAATATTAATTAATGGTAAAAAAAATTTATCTATAATAGTCATAATTTTCGACGATCTTCGTAATCTTATTCAATCTCCTTGACATCCCCCCTCAAATTGATGCTGGTAAAAAATTAATTTGCAATCATGAACTGACGACGGTGACAATACAAAATCAGAGCAAAATGTGGCAGCAAAAACAAAGGCTGCGCAAGGGTTGCCTCCAATTTCCGGCCACTCCGACGACATTCCCGGTCCAGGTCCCGGCCACCACCCTTAGGTTCACCTCATCAGGGTGACCGATTCCATGGACTAACTTCATCCAAAACAGTCCAATACATGATTGCTCAGCTCCCGTTTTCGTCCCATGCCCGAATGCAATTTGGACATCCCTCAATTGATAGTCCCAATATGCACCAATAGATGAATTTAATATTCAACTGAAGTCCAAACTACTGTGGGTACACAATCAATTGTAGCAATGACGTCTTTGGCTAAAGATCTTAAACTTTCATTTGAAAATTTGTGTGAGTCGGCAAAACTGAATTTGATGCATTAGCGGAAGCAGAGCGCATGCTAATGATGAATATCTACCTGATGCAGAAGCGGAGAAGAAACATTTTGAGAATGTCATGAGTAACCGAGCTCTTTCTAACCTCAATAATGGAGAGGCAGAGTATCGGGAGCTTGAACATAACTTTAAGGGAAAACCTGCCGAAAGGCTTTAAAAAAATTGATTGGGCGAGCAGCACAAGGCCGCCCGCCCAAAACGAAATTCAAGAGTTAATTTGTCTAGGATCGGAACGGCTCTGATACCATGTCAAATATACTCCATAAAAGACTTGATGCCCTTCTACGTGAGAGATTCTATCATCATATAGAACCAAAATAACAACTAAATATGGAAGCAATCAAATACAATATTAATTAATGGTAAAAACAATCTATCTATAAAGAGGTTCTTTCATTAAATAGGACTAAAAAAACAACGAAATAAGGAAGCAAATAATTACAATATTAATTAATGGTAAAAATAATTTATCTATAATAGTCGAAATTTTCGACGATCTTTGTAATCTTATTCAATCTCATTGACAATGCCAAACCGGCCATTTCCAAATGACATAATCTAGAATATTACAATCATTTTCCTAAACCACCAATGGACAAAATTAAATATTCATTAAAACATTTAGACTAAAGGAGATGACAGAGAACATACAAAGCAATGTTTATAGTACTTTCTATATGAACCCTACAGCAAAACATGATACATGAAAATAATTTTCAGCTTAAAATTTAGTCCAAGGAAATTCCATCTTAACTTTTCAAATAACACTTGAAATACAAAAGGATATGTGAATGACCCATCTTGTAAGAGGTGTAATTCTTTAATTTGTCTTCTCCCTTTAATCAAACTAGTGTAAAAATAAATTTATTATTGAGGTCCCATCCCAAGAAGTATTAATCACAAGTGGAAAATATTGTAATTGATAAATTTTTTAAATGTAACGTATTCTATTATTCAATATCATGTAAAGATTACAAAGTGTTTGTCTAAAGTGTATAACATTTACGTTCTAAACAACGTAAAAGATCAAACTATCAATGTTGCCAAAGGAAATAAAACTGATAAAAAAAATGTGTATGACTATGTTGAATCTAGTAATAGAGTAACTCATCAAACTAAAAACTGGTTTAATAATATACGAATTATGCTCTCCTGGATCAATCGACACTCCTCCTTGCAGGGCTAACACAAGTTACATGATTGAGGGCACATGTTCTCAACTAATCTTTCGGATAGCTATAGCATGTGAATGTGCGACATTTATCTTCGTTATTGAAAAAGTAATGGTATTCCATTTATTGGAAGTAGCACAAAATGGATTAAAGATCGAGATATCGTAACAAGCAAAATTTTTTAATCACAAGTTGAGACTTTTTAAATTACAAATGAAGATTATTTCAATTGATCATGTTTACGTTTTCCGTTTTAAAAGACTGGGTAAAGTCAGCAAAGTATTACTTATATATAATTAAAAAAGAAACGACAATGTCAATATTAGAAAAAATTAAAGTTGTTATCTAAGCAAAAGTAATATTGTGCCAAACCGGCCATGTGCAAACACCATAATGTTTGAATACTATAATCCTTTGCATATGGACCCTTCGGCGAAACCAGGGGCGGAGCTATCTCTTCAAACTAGGGGGGTCCCGGAGTTGAAGGGGAGAGGGTTCACGGGGGTTCGGGGGCAGCACCCCAGAAATTTTTTTTTGAAACATTATCTGTTAAAATGAGGAAAGTTGGTACTTTGTGATGGAGAAATGAACATAAATTAATGTACTAAAACTTCACAAAAAAATCAAGAAACATATAAAAGAAACTACTAATCTTTTAAAATACTTCTCCATCAGTGATCCTGGGGATTGAGGAAACTCTTTCACTCATAATTGATAAACAATACAACTTCACAAACAATTAAATAGGCTGGATTAGGAGATTAAAAAAAAATTGAGGCCAAAAAATTAAAAAAAAATTTTTTTTTCAAAAAATTGGGGGGGGGGGGGNCCTTGTAGGGCTAAGACGAGTTATATGATCCAAAGCACAAGTTCTCAATTTATCTTTCAGACAGCTACAACATGTGAACATGCGACATTTATCTTCGTTAGTGAAAGACTAATGGTATTCATTCATTTAAAATAATATAAAATGAATTAAAAATCGAGTTCCTAGGACAAGCAATATATATATATATTTTTTTATCGCAATTGAAATTTAAAGCAATTGGTAATGTTTATGCTTACGATTTTAAAGATTCACTCAAGTCAATAAAGTACTATTTAATTACAAATGGAGATTTACACCTATAATATAAAAAGACTGTTCATAGTACTTTTCACATGGACAGTTTGGCAAAACATGATAGATGAAAAAAACGTTCAGCTTATAATTTAGTCCAAGGATTTCCCATTACTTAACTTTCGAATACCACGTAGCATACGAAGGATATGTGAATAATCCATTTTGTAAGAGGCGCTTCTTTAATTTGTCTTCTCCCTTCAATCGACGTAGTCTAAAATGAACTAAAGAATGAGAACCCTCTACAAGAAGTTTTAACCACAAGTGAAAAACATCAAAATGTGTCATATTCAGGGTGTGTTTGTCTCCCATTATTTGAAGTAAAATAGAGTAATAAATAGTTATTTTTGGAAGATGTGTGGTTGAAATTTAAAGTAGCATTATTGATTTGTGTGTAGAATATTTTATTGAGTGAATGTATGGTAGAGAATCTTACTGTAGTAAATAATTTTTTGAAATAATGGTAGACAAACATGGCTCAATATAGCATGTAAATTAAAAGATAACTATATAAAGTATATAAACTTTAAAATGCTAAACAACGTAAAAGATCACACTATCAATAATAATTAAAAAAAAAACTAAATAACCATCACACCTAACACTCCCATCAAACTCTCCACATTGTCGAAAGGAAAATAAAAGTGAAAAGACGTGTACGGCATTCCTCAATCTACCAATGGGTTGTGCTACTTGTACATTATGGCATCCATAAAATAAAAGTGAAAAGACGTGTACGGCATTCCTCAATCTACCAATGGGTTGTGCTACTTGTACATTATGGCATCCATAATGGATGACATAATGTACAAGTGGCAGTACATTATTGGAGGGTGTGCTGGCCCACCGGCACACCCTTCAGTTGGATAATCTCACTTGTACATTATGTCATCAATTATGAATGTCATAATGTACAAGTAGAATTATCCATCTACCAATAGAGTAGCTCATCAAAGTAAAAACTAATTTAGTAATGCGTTATTTGTCTTATCTTGTATGAATTACACACTCCTTGTAAATCAATGCTCAGTCATTCGACACTCTCCATGCAGGGTTAAGAGAATCTTCAATATACTCTCTATTCGAACTTTTTTAAAATAGAGTGAGTTTTGCTTTCAAATTTTGGAAAGTCAAACTCATTCTCTATTTTTACTTTATAATGCTTGCAATTATTAGGTTACGAATTTCAAATTGTTCTATTTTTTTTTTTAATTATTCAAATTTTATTTGAATTAATTGGCTGTCGACATATGAAAAATATGTTAAATAAGAGAAGAAAATAAATCAATGAATATTTCTTAAAAGAAAATAAAATTAAAATCCAAAATAGAGGGCATTGTTGGCTTGTATAAACTATTTTACTTTTTAAATTTAAATTTTTTCTCTATAATACAAAAGATACTCTTTATAAATAGTCTTTTAAAAAATGCTCTAAGATAAGTTACGTGATCCAATGCAAATATTCTTAATTAATCTTTCGGGCAAGTATACCATGTGAACAATTGATATTTATCTTCGTTATTAAAATAATAAGAAAAATGCTATTCATCCCCAGTGAGGATGTATCCACATTTTATGTGGATGTAAATAATTGGTTAAATGATATGTGAAATTAAATGACTTATTTAATTTCACATATCATTGAATGCCACATTAACGCCACATAAATTGGGGATGAATAGCATTTCTCAAATAATAATGATAATTCATTCATTTATTTAATCTAAAATAGAATAAGATTCACTAAAAATCCAAATATTAGAACAGGCAAGATATTTTAAATTACAAGTGGAGATTCTTTTAATTACAAGGAGATAGCTTCAACTTATGACGTATATGCTTAAAATTTTAAAGATTAGGTAAAGTATTATTTAATTACAATTGGAGATTTAATAAGCTTATAAAAGACTCGATAATGTCAATATTAAAAATATTATTGTTGTTATATAAGCAAAATATGTATATAGGGGAGCATTCAATGGACAAAAGTTTTTGACAAAAGTATTTTACAAATAATCTTAACCCTTAAATTAATCTAATTTAAGGAATAATTGTAGCAAATGCCCCAAACCTTTGAAACGCTAGTAAACTTTTCCCAAACCTTTGATTTGTTACAGCCGTCACCCTTAACATTTTCAAATGTTGTAGGTAAAGTCCTTTTGGACAGTTTCCGTCTATAATTCTGTCAGTTGACCAAAAATTTAACTTTAACCTCATTTTTAATACTTTGAAAATGGGCAAAAGAGTAACTTTTCATTTATCATATTAAATAATTAAATAAAAAATAAAAAAACACACACACACAGTCGACTTCTTCCCCTCAGCCCTGACCTACCCCTACTTCAAATCCAAAATCTCCACCAACCACCTTCACCTCCATCTGATTCTTAGTGTAAAGAACAATAGAAGTAAGAACCGCAATCATAAGCAAGAAAAGAACTAATTTTCTCATCTTTATCTTCATCTTTCAATTTTCAAGGTCGAAAATTAAACATACAGACAAATCTGCAACATGAAATTTAAGATACGCAGGAAAAAAATGAAACAAATTGATCAAATCAAGCTTTAATCCAAGATTCGATTCTACAAATGTAAACTAAACAGAACCCAGTAAATTGTGTGAATGATATGTGGTCTTAAAATGGAGTGTATACGTGTAAGAAGAATCTTTCTAATATTTACAGCAAAATATGCCCATGTTTGTCTACAATTTTTACAAACATTGTTTTCTACAGTAAACAATCTCAACCATATATTCACTCAATAAAATATTATACACACAAACCAATAAAGTTAATTTAAATTTCAACCACACATTCTCCAAAAAATATTATTCCTTACTCCATTTTTCTACCAATAATGGTAGACAAACAAGCTCTAAGCAGCTTAGAAAAAGTGGGCACAAAAATCAACAAAAACAATGAATTTTAAGTCCAAGAAATCTTGTAAAAGGAATTATCAAGAGAGAAAGAGCGCAATTCTTGGCGGCAGATAGAACTGTGTTGCTCCCGACGGGTGGAGGTGGCGGTGGCGGTGGCGGTGGCGGGTGTGGATTTTGGGTGTGACGTGGGGATGGGTGAGGGTTGAGAGGAAGAAGACGGTTGTGCGCGCGTGTGTGTTATTTTTCTTTTTTTATTTAATTATTTAATGTGATAAATGGAAAGTTATTTTTTTTTTCATTTTTAAAATATTAAAAATGTGGTCAAAGTTAAATTTTTGGTCAACTAACAAAATTATGGACGGAAACTGTCCAAATGGACTTCACCTGTAACATTTGGAAATGTTAGGGGTGACGACTGCAACAAATCAAAGATTTGAGAAAAGTTTGCTAATACTTCAAAGATTTAGATCTTTTGCTGTAATTATCTTATAATTTAATGGTGTAGATCTAACTTAATAAAACAAGAACTTGTTTATCCTAATATGGTGGATTTCTTAGAGTTCACTTCACCAAATGGTAATATTTAAAAGTCATGCGTAAAAGTCATAATGTTTGAATACTATAATCATTTTCATAAAGAAATTGATGATGTTTACTCTTATAGTCCGTTTGATTGTAAGGGTAGAAAATAAGTGGAAAGAAAATGAATTCCAGAGAAAGTAATTGCCTAGAAATTGTTTTGTAGGGAATTGTCAATTAAGTGTGTTTGATTGATATAATTTTTCACTCGAAATTTTTTTAAATTTTGTGTTCGTTTGATTTTGTTTTACATGGAAATTGTCCATTAAAGTGAGAATTTTTTCCACAATTGGTTATAAAATTTGTTTCCATTTCTAAAAAGAAAAAAAACGAAAAAAAAATATTTCCTAAAAAAACTTTTGTTTCATCAAAGTTTAGTGTTTGTTTGGTTTTATTTTATATGGAAATTGTCTATTAAAGTGAATTTTTTTTTTTTACAATTGGTTATGAAATTTGTTTCAATTGCAACCAAAAAAAAGAAAAAAAAAAAACTGGAAAAACTTTTCCCACCATTTTTGGTGGGAAAAGGTTTTCAACAATTCCCATGAAATGGTGCACGTGAGACCAAGACTAAAAAACATTTTGCTAAGAAAATGAAGCATATCAAACACCTATAAAGTTGGAAAATGGAAAATCCATTTTCCATGGAATTTCACCCTTATCAAACTGGACCTTACAATGTAAAAGATATCATTAAAGTCAATAAAATATTATTTATTTACAAATGGAGTTTTACACTTGTTCCTACTATCTTAAAAGAGGCAATCCATCATTTACTGTTCATTTATGAAACTTTTTTTATCCACATCTTATTCATATCCAGCCTCCACTATCCATTCACGAAGTTTTAAAACAAAATGGTAATATTGACTTTTTCGTAATGTTGACTCTTCTTATGTCTCTGAGAATAAAGGAGAAAGAAACAATGGAAACAATCATTTACTATTAGTAGTCAATTCTAAGCTTAATTGTATTCCTGCTTCTTCGAACACAAACTAAACCTATACAGAAAAACGAAGCTCTCAAATAGAGAAACCAACTAGGTATATACAAAATCGTATGCTTTCTAAATTGTATGTTTTTCATCTTCACCAAGAACAAAAAACATAGAACAAATAAATATGTGAAGTGGGGGATATTGACATCCTTATCTATCATGGCCATTGAACTTGATGAACTTCGACTGTAGCATCACACTTGCTGAATTTTTTTTGCATAATTACATACAAGACATTGGATGGGGATATCAACTCTGACGGCTACTTCCTTGTACCATATCCGCATTTTTAGGACTCCAATGGTTGAATTTTATATTACCACTTAGAAGCCTTTTCAAAGACCTCAAACGCGAAGGGATAGACGATTTTTCATCTTCCTCTCCGTTAACATGTATTTAAATGTCAATCACGAGCATTCGGCCTATTACTTGTTGATGCTAATGATGACGAGCTAGTGGGTTGAAACGGAGCAGCAGTTGCAATACCTTGATGACTATCCTCTAAACAAGGTCCAAATGTACTAACTTGAGTCTCGTTACCCCAGAACAACACAATGGTGGGAAAATTTGGTGGCTGGCTTGAATTTTCTTCAATTGGGGTTTGAATTACAGTCTCTTTAGGACTACTAGGATTCGATGAGGATTCATTTGCATTCCTAATAAGGGCTCGAAAAAGAGGACAAGTGGAATGAGATTGAAACCGCATATCAATGCAATCCATATGAAACCCATGCTTGCATTTTGGCAAAAACCTGGTTTTTTCCCCTTGTGAGACCTCAGAAATACACACTGCACATTCCAATCTATCTTTGAAATCATTGGGATAATATATTACTACAAGTGTGGTTTTGAGGGCAGTGGGATCAAGACAACAGCTCAGGGCTGAGACCCCTCCGTGTGCACAGAAAATCTCTCCACGAGCACGGAGACCAGTGTCCTCGCTGTGCGGATGGGAGTCTTCGCACAGAGCAAAGACCAGTGCTTGCTTCGCACAGTATGGATATCAGATTCTTTGTATTTGCAAATGGGCCACATACTCAATATATAAGGGAAAAAGTGTCTGTTGGAATGAATGAGTATGTTTGTTGGAGAAAAATTGTTAACTTTCAACAGACATAACTCTTCAACACATACATGAAAATCAGAATTCTCTTTCGGAGGCATCGCCCCTGAGCCCCCACAAGGGGCGATGCCCCCTTGACTCCCATTTCGAAGCGGCAAACCATTTGCATAACAACAACAACAAATAAATAAATAAATTATGAAAAGATATCTAACAATTTTTCAGTTCAATTATGTAATATTGTTAATTTGTTTTGATGTTATTGAAAACTGGGATCATTCTATACACATCGCTATTGCTAAATAACAAAGTATAGATACAAACTTACCGCTAACATTACCTTCAAAATAACATAACCCGTGCATTACACGAGCAATAGACCAGTAATATAAAAAGACCGTAGTGTCACTGTAATGTCAAAGTCACCGACGAAGAAAATTAAATGCCGAAATTATTTAGATTAAAGGAAATGACAGACAACATATAATATTTTAAAGCTATAGTCATAATACTTTTCAAAGAGACCTTTTGGCAAAACATGATGGAAGAAAATAATTTTCTGCTTATAATTTAGTCCAAGGATACCCCATTACATAACTTTCGACTATCACATAGAATACAAAGGATATGTTAACAATCCATTCCATTTTGTAAGAGGCGCATCTTAATTTGTCATCTCCCATGAGTGGAAGCAGTCTAAAATGAACTAAAGACTAATATCAAGGCTCAATCACACGACACTCTCCATACAAGGTTAAGAGAATCTTTAACAACCTTTCCAAAAAAGAAAAAAGCTCTTAAAAAATCAATGGTTAAAACATACTCCAGAAAATCCTCTACTAAAACTTCTTAAAAATAGAGAGTCAGTTTTGCTATCCGAATTTGGAGACTCAACCTTACTTTATTTTTATTTTATAATGCATGCATTTAGTAAGTTACAAATCTCAAATTGCACTATTTCTTAAATTATTCAAATTTTATTTGAATTGATTGGCCGTTGATATATAAAAAATATGTTAGATAAGAGATGTAAAAAAAAAAAAATGTTTCTTAAAAGAAAATAAAATTAAAAGTCAAAATAGAGGGTATTGTTGGCTTGTATAAAATATTTCTGTTTATATTTAAATGTGCTCTCTACGATGCATAAGATATTCTTTATAAATACAGTCTCTTGAGAGATGCTCTAAGAGAGGTTACGTGATCCAAAGTCTAAAGATATCCCACTACATAACTTTCGAATACCACGTAGCATACAAAGGGTACGTGAATAATCCACTTCGTAAGATGTACTTCTTGATTTGTCATTTCCCTTGAATGGAAGTAGTCTAAAATGAATTAAAGAATTAGGTCCCACAAGAAGTTTTAACCACAAGTGAAAACCTTCTAAACATGACATATTCTAGGGTTCAATATCATGTAAAATTAAAAACAACTATAGAAAGTATATAAACTTAAAATCCTAAACAACATAAAAGACCAAACTATCAATAATAAAGAAACAAGATAACAATTATACCTAACACTCCCATCAAACTCTCCACATTGCCGAAAGGAAAATAAAAGTTGAAAAACGTGTACCACTGCCCTCAATCTACTAATAGAGTAACTCATCAAAGTAAAACTGATTTAGTAATATGTTACTGGTCTATCTTGTATGAATTACACACATTGTATATCAAGGCTCAGTCACTCGACACTCTCCATGCAATGTTAAGAGCATCTTCAACGAACGTTCTAAACAAAAAATGCTCTTAAATTATCAATGTTTAAAATAAACTCCAACAAATTCTCCTTTCGAACTTTTTCAAAATAGAGCGAGTTTTGCTATCCGAATTTAGAAAGTCAAACTCACTCTATTTTTATTTTTATAATGCATGCATTTAATAAGTTACAAATTTCAAATTGCACTCTTTCTTAAATTATTCAAATTTTATTTGAATTGATTGGCGGTTGACTTATTAAATAAGAAATGGAAAAATAATAATAAATGTTTCTTAGAAGAAAATAAAATTAAGAGCCAAAATAATGGGTATTGTTGGCTTGTATAAAATGTTTATCTCTAAATTTAAAATTCTTTCTCTATGATGCATACGATATTCTTTATAAATAGAGTCTCTTAAGGGATGCTCTAAGAGAAGTTAGAAGATCCAAAGTCTAAAGATATCCCATTACCTAACTTTTGAACACCACGTAGCATGCAAAGAGTGTGAATAATCCATTTTGTAAGAGTCGCAGTATTCTTTATAAATGGAGAGTCTCTTAAAAGATGTTTTAAGACAGGTTACGAGATTCAAAGTCTAAAGATACCCCATTACCTAAGTTTTGAAAACAATGTAGCATACAAAGGGTATGAGAATAATCCATTTTGTAAGAGTCGTGATATTTTTTATAAATAGAGAATCTCTTAAGAGATGCTCTAAGATAGGTTACTAGATCCAAAGTCTAAAGATATCTCATTACCTAACTTTTGAATACCACGTAGCATGCAAAGGGTACGTGAATAATCCATTTTGTAAGAGTCGCTTCTTGATTTGTCATTTCCCTTGAATAGAAGTCGTCTAAAATGAATTAAAGAATGTGATCCCTCCACAAGAAGTTTTAACAACAAGTGAAAAACTTCTAAACACGACATATTTTATTGTTCAATATCATATAAAATTCAAAAACCTCTATATAAAGTATACAAACTTAAAATCCTAAACAACATAAAAGACCAAACTATCCATAATAAATATACATAACACTCCCATCAAACTCTCCATGTTGCCGAAAGGAAAATAAAAGTAAAAAAAAAAAAAAAACGTGTACGACTTTCCTCAATATACTAATAGAGTAACTCTTCAAAGTAAAAACTAGTAATATATTATTTGTCTTATCTTGTGTGATTTACACCTCCTTGTAAATCAAGGCTCAGTCACCCGATACTCTCCATGCTGGGTTAAGAGCATCTTTAACAAACTTTATAAAGAAAAGATGCTTTTAGATAATCAATGTTTAAAGTAAGCTCTAACATACTATCTATTTGAACGTTTTAAAAATAAAGTGAGTTTGACTCTCCAATTCTTAAATTATTGAAATTTTATTTGAATTGGTTGGCTGTTGACATATAGAAAACATGTCAAATAACATATGAAAAGAAATTAATAAGTGTTTCTAAAAGAAAAGAAAATTAAGAGCCAAAATGGAGGGTATTGTTGGCTTGTATAAAATATTTTTCTCTTAATTTAAAAGTGTTCTCTATTATGCATAAGGTATTCTTTATAAATAGAGTCTTCTCAGAGATGCTCTCAGACAAGTTATGTGTTCCAAAGTCCAAGAATGTCCCATTACTTAACTTTCGAATACCACGTAGCATACAAAGGATATGTGAACAATCCATTTTGTAAGAGGCGCTTCTTAATGTGTAATCTCCCTCTAATGGAAGTAGTCTAAAATGAATTAAAGAATGAGTCCCTCCACAAAAAGTTTTCACCACAAGTGAAAGACTTCTAAACACGGCATATTCAATATCATGTTAATTAAAAGAAGACTCTATAAATTATATAAACATTAAAATGCTAAACAACATAAAAGACCAAACTATCAATAATAAAGAAAATAAATAACAATTATACCCAACACTCCCTGTATACTCTCCACATTGCCGAAAGGAAAATAAAAATGAAAAAACGTATACGAGTTCCTTCAATCTACTAATAGAGTAACTCATCAAAGTAAAAATTGATTTAGTAATGTGTTACCTGTCTTATCTTGTATGAATTATACGCTCCTTTGTATATATATTAAGGCTTAGTCACTCGACTATCGCCGTGCTCCATGCAGAGTTAAGAGCATCTTCAATAAATTTTCCAAACAAAATAATGCTCTTAAATAATCAATGTTTAAAATACCCTCAAACATACTGTCTGTTAGGACTTTTTAAAAATAGAGTGAGTTTTGCTCTCTGAATTTGGAGAGTCAAACTCACCCTCTATTTTACTTTATAATGCTTGCATTAATAAATTGCAAACTCCAAATTTCTCCATATCTTAAATTATTCAAATTTCATTTCAAAACTAACCGATAACTGTATATTTAAGTATGTTAAATAAGATATAAAAGACATTAATAAATGTTTTTAAAAGAAAATAAAACTAAAAGTTAAAATAAAGGATATTGTTGACGTGTATAAAATATTTTATTATCTAAAATTAAAAATGCTTTTTATGATACATAAGATATTTTTTATAAATAGAAAGTCTCTTAAGAGATTCTCAACTATTCTTTCGGACAACTATAGCATGTGAACAAGTGATATTTATCTTCGTTATTAAAAAAATTATGGTAATTCATTTATTTAAAATAGTATAAGATGCGTTAAAGATCCAAATCTTAGAACACGCTAGATATTTTATATCACGAGTGGAGATTCTTCTAATTACAAATGGACATAACTTCAACTTATGACGTATAATATATATATA